ACCTCAACCCACGAGCCTTTCGTTATATTCTCTCCCCGCTGTCCCGCTGAGGAGGGCAGTGATAGAGCGGCTTTGGTGGGCACCTGGCATCCAGCCAGGGTCAACCCACCACAACACCCCAAAAAGCAGCCATTGGGTTTGTGCCCAGAAGCGTGGAAGCCAAGTGTCCAGGATCATGTCCCCTGGACCACCAGCCCGTAACATCGTGTTGCAGCGCGGCAGGACGGTGGCTTAGGCACAGGGACAGTATCTACGTCTGGAGGTGGGGCAAAGCAGGCAGGTGTGGAGGTACAAGCCATGGGACAAGGACTTCTTACAGTCTCATCTGGCGTAACAGGAGTGGATGAGTAGACGGAAGCACTTGGCGCTCAAGCCCCCACCTCTACGCTCTATGTGATGGGAGGCAGTGACTTCAGACTGGATTTTTGGTATCCTGGACTGCATGTCCCCACCACACACTTAGTTTGAAGTTCATTCAGACCCCTCTGCCCCCTTTCAGAGGGTGGACTGCGTTTGATCTGCAGCTGGAGCAAAGCTTGTGGTTTAGATTCCTCTGACATGAACTGTGCTGAAATGCACGAAAATCTCCCCATGAGCCAAACAGATGCACAGCAAGAGAGGATGAGGATGGGATTCACTTCAGCTGCTCTGAACCCAAAGGCTAACAAACCCAGCCTACAATATTCACTAGCAGGCCATTAATACAAAAGTATCTCCTTGTAGTCAAAGTATATCAGGGAAATCACAGCACGGAGGACGGGTGTTTTGAGATCAGCATGGCACAACTGGAAGAGAAACGGGGTGTTGAAGCATGGAATTAAAAGCAGGCTGACAGCTAGAAACCATCCACAGCCTTCCTCATCCATGAGAGAAGTGCAACACAGTAGGCACTGCTAAATGGAATAAAAGATCTGTGGGACACTAATAACTGCCTGAAGTCATGCAGAAAGAATCCATCTTCACAGACCTCTCCATTGTGAAATGATCACAACTTTGTATGAATGCAAAGTCCAAAAAACCAGAGTTGCAGGATTATGCTTCTGGTTTCTGATCACAAGGAGAGTGTCAACATGCAGTCCTAAGAAAATCAGAGCTACAGCTATTAAAACAACATGCCATTTCGTCTGCTCACAAGTCATTCTAGGGGTAAGTGCCGGAGAAGCAACTCGTAATGCCCAGCATGCACTCAATACTTGTTCATCAAGCATATCTGAAAGGAAGGTCTTGATGGCACAAGTTCTCTTCCCAAATCTTTGCTGCTCTAATTTACAGCAAACATACCACAGAGCTGGTGGACTTGTTCAGACAGCACTCTTCCCGCTGCTCCAAGTCTCACCCGTGCTTTCCAGTGAAAAGAAACATCATCCAAGAAATATCACAAAAGAAGTATCATGCCGGAGTGGAACAGTCAGGCCAAAAGCTGGCCCAAGAAGCTTTTTGATTTTCCAAGCCAGAATTGGCTGCATTTCTCATTCTGGATCTTTAAAACAGGGTTTTAAATTTTAAATATTCTGTATCAAACTGTGCAGGAGAGCTCAGTTTGAACTCAGCAGAGCAAATTTCAACCAACCACTTCCAGATTCACTGCCAGTGATTTGGTTGAAGGGCAGGGGCTCCAATCACGCCTGCCTGGACAGAAACCCGTGGCCATGGGCCAGCTGAGGCTTTTTGGAAGCGTCCCTAATCGCAATCTTCAAATGACACATCCTCTGGCAATGGCTGCTGGTTAATTTAATCGCCTTTTGTTCTCTTCTTTTGGAAGCATCTGAATAACGGTGAAGCCTACTGATAAAACCCCAAACCTGGCTTTTCACCGTAACATTTAAACCTCAAAATTAATTAAATAAATTTTAAAAGTCTGCCTGTAGCAGAGGACAGAGGAAAGCGACGACAGCGTCAGGGTTAAACGCTCTCCTGGCCCAGAAGGACAGGCAATCGGCACGGGACTGCTACCCAGAGGACGGCAGAAATCAGATTTCGTTGCCCATGTGCAGCAACCCCTGCCCATGACCTTTTCTGTGCAGAGCCCATAAATACACCCTTCTGACTCAGCCCTGCCACACAGAAATATTGCGATGCAGCATCAGAGCTTTGAGGCTCAGCCTCAAAGATTCCTTCACCACGGCTCACTAGTCACAGAACTAAGTGAAAATGAGATTGTTTTCAGGATCATTAAAGAGCTACTAATAGTTCATAAAATTTCCATAGCAGAGACTTACTGAGGCACACGAGAGACTTCTCTCTACACAGGCCTCCGCATCTTTTGGCAACGACTAAAATCTTTTCCGAAGATGCACAGTCAAGGCATATCGTGTCTCGCAGCTTCCTTCCCCCTCAAAATATTTCTTAGAAGCAGTCAGCGGGGCCCTGTGTGCAAGGCAGCGAACCTGAGTCAGCTGAACTTTCCGAATTGCCTCAATCCATTAACGTGCCAGCTGCAATTCTGGCGATAGCAAAACCTCTTCCAGGTTTTTTTGGGAGTAACTACCTGGCTCGGCGCTTTGCCCGAGGAAGGGAGAGCCCCAGGCTCACCATGCGGACACCCGGATTGTCTGTAGGATCTCTGGCAAGTAGGATTGTCCTTCAAGGGTGCTGAGAAAAGGATCTGTGGTTAGTGCAGGCAACAGGACAGGAAAGGGTGATGCTACATTCGCCAAAGCGCTATGAATTTCACCCAGAATCAGCAGTGAGTCTCAAGCCAGCCGTGGGGATTTAGGATGGCTGAGGCTTCTTCTCTTGGTATCAGAAAGGACGTTCCCCCCACGATCGCCAGCGTTGCTGCTGGCACAGCGATGCTCTACAAGGGGAACGCTCTGCCATGGTTGGAATATAACTTTTGTGGTTTTGAAAAGGCATAGAGAAGGCAGCAACAAATGCTTCTGCAGTCACCGACGGTACTTCCATGGACATTGGTAAAACACAGCGATGGCACAGAGCCGGGCAGGAGGCCGGAACAGACCATAAACATCTGCCTTTTCAACACAGCTAGAAAAGCGAAGAAAGAAAACAAGAGCTCGGAGAGAATCTCCTTGGCCTCCGAGCGTGTCTCCCGTGATCAGTCCGAGGCTGCCAAAGCATCAGGAGGATTCAAAGGCCGTCATTCAGAGATCACAAAGCTCCCATTTCAGAGTCTCTCAAGACTCGGGGTCGGTGACTAGGAGCCTGACGTCAGTGGTGAGCGAGCAAACACAACCCTCTTTTTACCATGGGTCTTGGTGGAGACTCAGGCTACTAAAAGAGAAGTTTTAGGTTTTCCTTTGTACTCCTTGCTTTGACCTCCACCAAGTCCAAGAAGACACTTTGCTAGCTGTCAAACAAATGCTTGTTGTGAAATCCACTGCCACCCAAAACTTACACCCGCACAGGACTTCAAAGCGAAGCTGACACTGGCACTTGGCAGCCACTCGGGCAAGCGTCCACAGCTTGCTTCGGAGCGAGCCCTTGCTCTTCAAGTCGGCAGGACCTGTTTCGACGAGGAAGGGTCAAAACTAGGGTTTCAAATACATAAGAGTGGTAGGAAAATAAGATGAGAGAATGTTTTCTTGCCTATTGTATAGTGGATGCTGACCGAAAAACCACATACCACATTTCTGAACTGACGCACAAGTTAAGAATGCACAGCAGATCCATCCACGACCTCTGATTAGTTTGCTTTGGCATTTACGCTTTTCACAATGCTGGATTTTATCTTCAGGGAAAACAAGAGGCTGTTTCATGTGAATCACTACCAACCAACCGCAGAGAACTGTAACAACGGGGAAAAGGCAAAGGATTTGAGATAACCAAAACGCCTTATCTGCACTAAGGAAAGAGAAAAAAACAACATTCTTAATACCGACAAGAAAACCTGGGCACGTCAGAGCAATCAGAAAAAAGTTATTAATTTAAGAAACCAAGGAACAATCCTTACATTAATCCCTACAGCAAAGATTTTTTTTTTTTTTTTTTCCAGATTAGATAATTGGCAACTCATTTCCCAAAAGTTCCTAAAGATACTGGGAGATAAAAATCCTATGAAAATTAGAAATAGGGGCTTTTGGAAATGTTACCCAGTATCTTGCAAATACAAGACTCTCAAGTTAGCATAGAGAGGAAACACAAACATGCTAACTTTTCTTTTAAAACAACGGATTCTGTTGAGAATTACTGAGAACTACTAATACTTTGGCAGTCACCAGAAAACATAATCCAGGCAATGCAAATGGGAAGTAGGAATACAATTTTTTTTTTTTTTTTAAAAACGTAATTGAAAATACTTTTATTTCAATAAATCTGCTTTAAAAACGGAGCACTGGAAACTCTTTTTGATATTTTTTGCACCCATAAGCACATTGTAGCACTGGGGTCTGAAGCATTCTCCCTGCAGAGCGACTCTCCCCATGTGTTTCAACAGTAGCTGGAGGGACTAAATCCAGGGATGGGAGAGTTCAGTATTTCATGGCCTCCTCCTGCTGCAGCAACCACAAAGAGCTAATTAGCATCACAGTTAGAGTTGTGATTTAGATGTATATCTTTATGTACTTACATGACTGTTAATATCACTGCGTGTAAAGCATTTCATAATTCTTTCTCTAGTAAGGGCTAAATGATTAGCAGAATCAAACCCACTGTGCCTAACCTGTATTTAGTCTGTGTGTTGCTGTTTGTTGGACCTGGAAGAGAACTCCGCACCTGAAAGCCTCTGGTTTTTGCTGTCAAATGCAAGTTGTGCTTCCTTCCTGCCCGGACTGCTTCCCAGAAACTTTAAATTACTATTTTCACAACACCTCTGCCTAGCAGGGAGGTACTGTCATCACCACGTCCCAGAAGAAGAGCCAAGATCCCAGGCAGCTGGGTAATTTGTCTGAAATCACAAAGCAAGCCTACGATAAAAGAGAGTTTTGAAGCCTGGGTCTCCCTTCATCAGCTCAACAACTCACTTCACTACTGCAAAACACTGATGGCCTTTCAGATAGGAGATTGGATTATTTTTGAAGCCGTGACCCGCAAGCAGAAAGCCCTGAATATCCTCAGCATCCCCTCCCAGCCTCACACGCAAATCCAATCCCTGCTCCATTTAAATCCACTCTGGATTTGATGCAAACGCAAAGAGATGCAGTCCCTTTCTGATAGGGCTGATCCTTCCTCCAACTCGTGGTCAGCTCTTGGGCTTGATAAATAAAAATGAAGGAAGAAACCACACTACGTAACCAGCACAGGAGACCTTGACTCTCCCCTTTGCAACTTACTCTTTATACACTACAGATTTAATTTAAATTTAACCCAGTTAAATCTAGAATGGCTTGGCATGGTCTAGGACCTGGCCAATCTGAAAAACTTCTCTTTCTCTCTTGCATCTCCCCCATGAAAGGCAGCATCCCCTCATTTACCTTCCGTCCTTTCAAATGGAGATCTCTAATCTAGCAAACCAGGTCCCCGTACGCAGTCCCAGTTCAGCCTGTCCTTCCCCTGTCCCCAGCCGCAGAGGAAGCCTCAGCAATTACTTTAGAGGAACCACCTCAACTTTGAAGGTTAACACAAGCTGCGATGAATCCTTCTGTAACAGAGCAGCGATACTGACTCACCAGCAATTTCAAGGTGAAAGAGGGATGTTTGGCTGGGGACACCAGCTTCGGAGGCCAGTTCTCCTAATTTGCCAGGGTAGGTTTGCCAAACACCAAAGCACCAAATGCAATTTAACGGGGCAAGTTTCTGGAGTGACGCTACAGGGTGGGAGCCTGGCGTGCCCGAGTGCTTTGCAGGGTAGAGACGCACCAGCCCCGCTCTGGAAAAGTACTTTGGTTGTAAGGATTATAGTACCTTGATAGAATAATTCAGCGAACTGCTTATGAAGTTCTGTTGAAAGAAAGCAGATATTTCCTCCTATCCTGTCACATTGCAGAATTTGAGTGTTGGTGAAGGCGCAGAGCTAACAAGGAAAACCAGAGCAAAAGCTTTATCATATCAACAAATGGATTGCTCGGGGATTTTCTGATTTGTTCTTAAGGCCAAATCTCAAAACCAAGACCGTCACCAATAACTTCTTTTTTAAAAATAGAAACAGTTAAATGAATGGTAGAATTAAAGAACTGATTTTACAGCATTCAACTTTTGGGGTGCACATGGGAGATGCCCTGGCTAGAACTGATTTTTAAATGGCAAGTCTGCAGCTAAGACCCATCCTAGAGCTTCCAGATGGTAAGATTACATCTCATTGATCTCTTTATTATAGAAGCAATATTTCATTAATGACTACACAGGCCTGCCCAAACCCAGCTGCACTGAAAGCATCCACTGTCAGGAGAGAGAAAGCCACCACCGCCTTTAACTGCTACAGATGAAGCCAGAGATGACAGATCTTCTGACTCTAAACCAAGCAAAATTAAATATTTAAGAGCTAATATCGTAACTTCTCCTATATTTTAACAAAATGCTGCCACCGGGCATTGAGAGAGACAGGGACAGCGAAATATGTCTGCTACTCAACTCCAAATTTGTCAAGTTAAATGTTCGTGAGATTTTAGATCTACAGGCTACGTAATGTCTTGAGGCTTCTTCCAGAGACGGTTGCTGAAATATCCAACCCAGCTGGTAAGGTACTGCTGAGAGATTGGGGCTTTAGGATGACTCACCAAGCATGTGAGGCATTCACGATAGATTTTCTTTCCTATGGGCTATGGGGTTTTAAAGACCAATGAAGAAACACTCAGCAATCTTGAGAGTGAGCCTACCAGTCATTAAATCAGCAGCATCCCCATGCATCTAATTCATCAGAGAACCATAGAATCACAGAATGGTTTGGGTGGGAAAGGATCTTTAAAGGTCATCTAGTCCAACCCCCTGCCGTGGGCAGGGACATCTTCAACTAGATCAGGTTGCTCAGAGCCCCTTCCAACCTGACCTTGAATGTTCCCAGGGATGGGGCATCTACCACCTTTCTGGGCAACCTTGGCCAGGGTTTCACAGCGTAAAAACACAGCATACGGCTTCAGGAATTTGTTTCAGTACCGGTCCAGTGCAGGAAGGTTGGGGTCAGAAACCAGCCTTTTCTTCTGAACTTCCCCTCTCACTCATCAGAACAAGAAAGAGACCATTAGTGTTATAAATATGATGCCTCTGTACTGAAGAACAACTTAAAAGGTTCCTGTAGATCTACAGTTTAATAGTGCAGATTGCTACATCAGATGTTAATGACTTCTGGTGAGTAGAAGTAGTGTGAGAAAAGAGCAGAAAGACCCCAAACGCCTAGCAGGAATCCCTGCAATGTGTTCCTGTAAGCAACAGGCACACTCAGCAGTTTAGGTGGCTCCACCTGAAGGTTATTACCATACGTATTTTTAATAAAAAGCATCAAAACACTCACAGAAATAATGCTACTGATTAAAAAGAAGTGAGAATGACCAGGCAGGGAAAAATCCTTTATGATCTCTTCTCGGTTTTGCATGTGTTTGCTTTATTGTCCCTCTTGCAAGTTGCTGCTAGGGCTCCTACGAGTTCGTGTGTTCGTCTGGACCCAGCAGCAATGCAAGTGGTGAGGGTCACTTGAACATCAATTACGTTTGCATCTCTGCAATGCAAGAAGGCCCTGAAAAGGCTCTGGTGTGGCAAACAATGAATCAATACAGTTAATATAAGTTAATACTAGCTAGACTCTCGCTTCCAAATTTTGCAGACAGCACCCCTTACCTGCTCTGCAGAAATACTGTTCAGCTTAGTTCTGAACAAAGCACGCCGAGATGGGCGGTTAATGAGGACTGTGCATGCTACGGGCGATTTTTCTCCAGCTCTTCCCCAGCTACTCGACTTCTCTGATGATCTGGCTAATGAAGCAGGCTGGTGACGCTTGACATCACCTGATCTTCCACGCCTACCATTCAGAAATCCATCCTGCCTTCCGATCGCCACCTTCAGCCTCGGCGCACTCAGGCGTGAAACATCCCTGGCCTGTGTCCATGTTAATTTTCTACTTGACAGAACACAAATAGAAACCTGGTCTGGGGGAAAAACTGATCATCTTGCCGCATAGTAATTAGCTTATAGCAGGGAACGGCAGCAGTGCCAGACCTCCACACCGCCGTGATAAGGCTGCTACGTCACCGGGATGGAGCGAGGCTACAGTGAAATCTCGCTGCAGGGAGACATTAAACTACCGCTTCAGAAGATGAAACGTGCTGGTGCGGATTTGGTTGCAGTTCCAGACACCTCTCCAGTCTCAGGAGTAAATTACCAATGAGGCTCGTTTAAAGGCTACTGGAGACGGCGTAGGCACAGGTGACAGAATGCCTGCACTTTAAAGGAGAAAGGAAAGGGTGCTCATTAATGGAGCTCGGTGCATTTGGTTTGAACAGGGCAAGCACCTACGGTAGGGGAATTCAATCTCATCCCCCACACCCCTCCCAAACAAGCGTCTTCTCTACAGAGATAAGGAGACAATCCTGTTGGTACAAGCCAAGCTAGTCTGCTTTTCTGATGCCAGCATAAACAGATAACGCCGACAGACGTCACAGCAGATACTGCAGCCGAAAAAGCTCTTCTGTGCAAGAGCAGTGTATTTATAGAGCTAGCTTCTAGTGTTTGAAAAGTAATTTGCAGTCTTACAGCGCATAAATACTTGGTCTGTGCATTCCTGGTCCTTGCCCTCGGAGTAGCCAGCAGCCTCACCCACAGCATCTCAGCTTTCAGATTCACTGAACCAAGGAGGCAGCTCACCTGCTGCAGCCAGCATGCTCCTCAAGGACAATCAGTAAGACGCCAACCCTTGGTGGACAACACGGCAATATAACAGTGCTGTCCCTCTCTTTTTGGCAGCTGATTTAGGCTAGGTAGACAAGGATAGAGACAGCTACTCAATAGCTGGATACCTTCAATTCCTCTGCTGTGAATAAAGGGAATACTCAGTGGTAGCCCCATCTTAACTTCATACAAGAAACTCAGGTTATGGAGGTAAAATAAGCAAGCCATGTACTGTCATTGTTAAACGCCACTGGTACCGAAACCACCAACCTCTGCTGTGTCCGTAGAAAGCAAAGCTGGAGGCAGCTACCTGTGCTCTGCACGTGCCAGCGGCGTAAAGTTTAGAGGAAAGTGGCTTTCACACACTGAAGACGTGTGAAGGGCAGACAGAGGCAGTGGTGGACAGTACAACTAGGGTTTGGAGACGGTAACATTGAAAATCCACGTGTAAAGCCAGCGGCTATCCCTGAGACAGGAGGAGACATATCCTTTTTAAAAAAAAAAAACAAACCCAACAAGAACAGCAATGTTACACGCGGAGTCAAAGCAAGACATTTTGGTGCCAGGACAGGATGTCAGTTTGGCACAACCCCAACACTTCTCACAAAGAGGAGCAGGAGATTAAGGACTTGGCAAGGAGCTAGCAAAGCGTAACAGCCCAGAGCGTACCGGGAGCCAGGAGGAGCGCAGCGTAAAGCCAGGCTGCCCTGGCACAGGCAAGCTCTGACGCATGGATGTCTTGCACTCGGTTATTGCAAAGCCGTGTGTCGGCACGGGCTGGTCGGAGCCACGCTGGTATCGGCCAGTTGTGCTCCAAGTCTACAAGGTAGAGGCATGAAGGCCACGAAGCCCAGCCAGAATGACAGTAGCACTGAGTAGATCCCTTCGCTGGCTCAGCTCTGGGCTGTGTCGCTTTCTCCCGCCTTGGATAGCACCCGGGATTTGGCCGGTGGTGCGGGGCACTTCCAGGGGCAGTAAGTCCTCCTTAGCGACCTCGAACGTGTGTGTGCTGCTATGTTCACTCACACGCACCCTTCTGCCTCTGCAGACCTGCTGATTACAGCCTCTCTCCAGATTTCCTAGATTGCTATAATCAATGACGCACGCATTAAAAGAACAGAAATACTTGGGATGGGAACTTTCTCAAAAATGCACCTGCATACCCATTCTTTAAGTTCACAAAGATTATTTTTAAAGGAGGTAGGGAAGCATTTCTGCCACTTGTTTCTCAGTATCATGTGTAACTATGGTACTTTAAAAGAGAAAGGTATCGGGCTTGTAATTTTATAGCTCAGGTGCTTCAAGTAATTGTGAAGTACTGACTTGAGTCTCTCCGGTCACCATTATTGCCAAAGGTAACCACCAAACTCAGAGGATGACATCAGAACAATTAAGTTGCTGCTTAGAGCAAACACAAAGGACCCACAACGTATGAATTTGTTTAAGCACGTCCAGTCAGGAGCTTTACGCTTCTGTCATTTAGGAGGGGGAGGACACAGGACTTCTAATATTTCAGAATTTGTTGTATGTCACATTTCACGTACTCATCACTGGTGCTGTTTTAAAGAAACAGTTTGAAGTACTTGCTACAGGATTAGGGTCAGAAGGGGCTAATTATGGGAAGCAGCAAAGTCAAAACAATGGCAATAGGAAGCCTCAAGGAGACAACAGGAAAGCTTTTAACAGAGGACTGTCCTTTATCCACCTTCACCTAGATGAACGATTACTCCTCCCAAGCTCGAGGTACAACGGCGAGGCAGTGCAACCGACCCGAAAAAGCTCATGGAAAGGGATGGGGAGAGGAGTTTATCAGTTGTTGCAGGCAGACAGACTGGCAAGGCAGAATAATCCCTCGAGGGCTATCAGATACAAAGGCACTCTCTCTGACTCTAGAAGTCCTTGGGCAACAAACGGCTGGAGGCCAAGAAGATGTTTGCATACTTACTCGATATTTACTCCCTTCCCCAGACACCCAGCATCGGCAGCGTCAGAAATGACATATTGATCCGACCTGTAGCAGCCTACTCGTATTCTTTGGGCAGAGGCAGAGTCTGAAGCAAATAAGCTGCAAGTTGCACTAAGAAACAACAGGTACGAGGGCTGCATTATACTTATGTCGCGGGAGGAACACAGAGAACGAGCATGTGTTTGTCCTAAATCATCCTCTGGATGCTGTGTGGTTTCTGACAAAAAACCTGTAGTGCTTGAGTCACTGCATGCGACTGCTCGCCACTGACTCCCAAAGGGGACCCTGGCAAGTGCTGACACCTACGGATGGCAAAACGGGAGATACAGCCTCAAAATAGAGCTCAGAAAAATCCCACCCCAAACAGAAACAGATACAGGTCCTTAAATTGAATGGTAAAAGAGGACAGAAAGGGAAAGCTTCATCAAGGATTGCAGTAGCATCATCATACCAAAAGGAGAGAAAACCCTGAATACAGAATTCAAGCATCGGCTATTTCCAAAAAGGAAGAAGTGATTATAAAGTCAGCAAGCTTACGAGCCATCCACTAGCCTCAAACACCAAGGGTTTTTAACATTTTCAGTGCCTAAGGACTTGTGGACATCAGAGGAGTAACATGTTTAAAATTGTTCTACTGTAATTTAGGTTGGGGGGGGCTTTTTTTAAAGGGAAAAAAGATGCAAATTCAAAGCAGGTACAACTAAAAGCAAAAAAAAAAACCCCAAAACCCACCACAAAACCAACAAAAGGCAAAGAAAACACACATGCAATTATAAATGCTGGAAAATGGAAAAACAGACATTTCAGATCAGACCTCCCCAGAGCTCTGAATAATGGAGTGATGCCTCCAGGGTCTACCATTCAGCTACCCAAGCCTGCATACTAATATACTACTCACATTAGAAGAGTAGAAAGGCACCACTCATGCAGAAAATTACCTTAAATGAGCAATGACTTCATGATAAACAAGCCACTCGCTTTTTTACTTTGCTCTTTGATTTAGGTGGTGGGGGGCACCGCCTCCCTACTGCTGAAAAGCAGACACAGCACACTTCTGGGTCTGTACAGAAACCTCGGAAGCAGGCCACAAAACCACCTCGTTATTGTGAATATTTAATTCTGGTTGGTTTGGTCAAACATCAAGATACGAGATTGCACCTTTGGGGGGAAGGACGTACCTTGCAATCACTAACATCCAGGGTCCAAAGCATCCAGGATCACTAGCAGCCAAGCTTTAAATAGAGCAGAGAATCCACACAGTGACAATACCAGAGGTATAACCATAGCGTCACACACAATATGAAACCAGAGTATCTATGGCTGATACCGTTTCCCATCCCATTGGTATCCTAATTTCCCCATGTGCTGCCAGAATCCAAAATGCCCTTCCTAACCTGGCTTGCAAATGCTCATCTTCCCTTACAAACGCACTCCTAGTGCATTTCTCATTGACTCCATAGTCGATTAAATGCAGTTCTCCCACCGGTCCTCTTCAAATGAAGTGATATTTAACTAGACACACCACGAGGCAGCTGCTGTACAGCCTAGCTTGCTTTGTGCATCATTCCCCGGTTCATTGCCTGCGATGACTTCTGGGTCCCTGATGCAGGGGACCTCAGATTTTCCTTTGTTGGAAAGTAACCTTGCATGGTTTTAGGTACTGTCGTTATAAGCAACGGCAATCCTGTTAAATCCTGCTGCATCTTTTTCCTTTTCTGTCCGTAAATTGAACATCCCTAAGAGCTAAAAGACTTATGATGAGAAGACAGGTTCAGCTGAACCTGTTTACTCCAAGAACAGCAGGGAGAACAAAATGCTTTGGAAAGAGTCCGCTGGGAAACTCTGAATTATTTTTTTTTCCCTAGGAGTGCAAACTAATGTGCTCTGAAGAACCGCAAAAACTGATGGCATTCATTTGTGCGGTCCTGGTTTGAATGTGCTTTAAAAGGAAAATCTGCTTATTGTCTCATGAATACCTCCGCTCGCGATGTAGGGAGAGGTCCTCGCCCTGCTCTGGGTAGGGCGATCGCAGCTGATGAGGTCCAGAATGCTACCCAGATAACAGGGTGAGACTGGTAAACCAGGGAGGAGGGTTAGTCTTTCTGTAACAGCCTGTAGAGACGAACAAAGCACTCCGGAGATAAGCCTGCCTTAAGACAGAAGTAATTCTCGGCTAAAGCAGCAGTTAAAAAGCTGGACTGCAAGCGTGCGTCAAATTTGGGTTATAAACATGACAAAGATGAAATCCACAACTCAAACTCTATACGCCAAGCTCTGACTAAGAACAAGCTTTAAGCCCTTAACCCCTGGTGCAGCCTTGAAAAGGAGGATTACCACTTGTGGGCAGCGTAAGAGCAGTGCCAGTTAAAGAGATTCCCGTGAAAGAAAATGATATTTATTTTTAAATCACTGAAAACTGCTATTGCTCACAGCTCTGATTCAACGCTATTTATACTGCTGTGTATTACAAGTCACTAGGATGGAAATCACCTTCATTTCATCATTAATCTGGTTTCTAAATACTTCCTACCCAATCTAAATTTCAGAATTTGTGGTTTTTTTAGTTGTTTGGGTTCTATAAACTTGGGGATAGTTTGGGTTGAGACTGGGGAAAGGGTTGTTGAAAAAGGAAGAAGCACAAAGCAGGTATCCCCATTCAACTCCTGCTCACTAGATTTTGTGTAGGGTTTGTCTTACCGGTTCTTCCTCTGCCCACTCTAAGAAAAGCTCCTGCAGATGGAGACCACACAAAAGCCTTAACAAATCAAGATAGGTTCCCATTTTCCAAAATGTGCTCAGCTGGGACAGATGCAAGATAGGTGGAGGTCCCTCTTCCGTATTATGCAGACGTTAGGCCACATTATAAATCTTTGTAAGATATATTATGGTATATATATAAAAAAGCTTCTTACCAGAACACCCTTGCAGAATGCTGGCTTTTGAAGTGTCCTTGCTTTAAGGACAGCAATATTCCTGTTCACGCCTGCACTGAAATCCCAGTTAATACAGTATCAAGCCTGTTTTCAAAGCTGTTACATTATCAAACCATCGAAATTGAAGTTCATTAAGAACTGGAGGACTGTACGCAGTAGCTATTCCACAGCACCAATCCCCTAGTATGGGTTTATCCTTGGCTTCTTCCAAATCCCCCTAATTAATTTTTTTTCAAAGGCCATCAATCTGAAGCAGACAAACATCAGAGAGTCAATTCATTAACATTCCCATATTTCCACTTATCTTGGGCCACTTCTTCTCTTATTAATAGCTAGTAAGATTGGCATTTCTAAAAATAACCAACCAGCGCTGGAAGTAAAACTCCAGGGAGCCCTCCCAAACCCCATCAATCCTCCCAGCAATACTTCGGAGTCTCGTCCTACGGTCTCTCGAGTACACCCTGGCAGTTGGCAATCTCCGAGGCTGCCCATGAATCAACATCCAATATGAACTACGAGACGCTGATTACTCCAGTAATTTATTACTTGTAGGGTGACCAAAAGGCTGTTTACACAAGGAAATTAGGATACTTCAGAGTACCGTCAAATGTGCCCTGAAAGTTTACCTCTGATTTATACGCCAGCTCAGTTTCTCTCCCCTTAATGTTCTTCACTGCAGGTGATTTACCACTGCTATGATGCATCGGATTTACTTTTAGAAAGTTCTGAACCTCCGTTTTCTCCCTAACTGCAAAAGGCGAAGGCAAGAGTAGCACAGTTTCCTTGAACACATGAGACAGCGTGCTCAAGCAGCACCAACAGACTGGCAAATGAGTCACCGACTAGAATGAACGATTTTATCTCTCATGGAGACTAGAGAAAACAGGTGGTATGAGTTTAACTTCTATTCACAGCCTTGCGATTGTGGATTCCTGGCTGCTGCAGTATGCTTAGGAGAAAGATGTTGGGATCAGTCACCCCAGACTCATTATTATGATCCTACTGATCTTAATCAGGAGGCAATCATGAATTACTCACTTGTTTCCCATTTACATGTTTGTATCAAGTGATTTTACAGTGCTGCCTGATAGAGAACATAAAAATGCGAACACTTCACACTGAAATATGCCACTGACTCACCGCTGAGGGGGAAGGAGTTTTAGCCCTCCTTCAAGCAAGAAATGGGCAAGTACAAGACACAACACCTGACCTAACGAAGGGGACATCCGCATTTGCAAGGCAGTGAAATAACATTTAATTACAAGTATTGACTAGGTTATACGTGGGAAGGAAGCAAGCAGAGGCAGAGGGGAGAAGATTATGCCTGAAGAGCTCCAGGGAGTCTGGACAAAAGGAAAATTGGCTCTAGCAGCTAACATGCTCTGCCATGGAGAAAAGAGGTTTCTAATGAGTGAGGCTCTAATGGACACAGCCTGAGATGTCAGGAAATGTTGAATACTACCTTGATCATGATGGGCAGCAAATCAGCTGGACAGGAGAGAGGAGTTTCTAATGTAACTTCACTAAAAGCAGATTAGTCAGACGGTATTTTTTTTTTTTTTTCTTTCTTTCTTGTTTTTCATAACCACTTGTAACTGTATTGCCTGTTTTGGATGTTGTACATACATACTTTGATCTGAATTTACCTTAATCTGCCTTGAGTTAAATGCATTTCCAAATCAACTTCAAGTCACACTTCAATCCAAGGCTGGGGTAGATCATCAGCCAGAAGTGCCTGGACCCCTCCAGACTTACCTAGCTCCCCAAACTCATTCCCTAAAGGGTAAGCAGGTCCCCCACCAGCTGCATAAGCTAGAGATGGATGTCTGGCCTCATGTCTGGAGAGACAGAAATGTCTTCAAGTAACCAATAGTGCAAAGCAAGGCTCTGGCATACAGCAGGATACCAGGGGGCACCCAGTCGTTTGGGGTCCCCAGGAAATGGGCTATTTCAATCAGTAGAGATGCCCCTACCCAAAAGGGTAGGGACCAGTCACAGATGATCACAGATCATTGAATGGTTTGGGTTGGAAGAGACCTTTAAAGACCATCTAGTCCAACCCTGCTGCCACGATGACTGCTGCTAATTTCTAACCAGAGCTGAACTTGAACTGATCTTAAAGATAAGCCCTAACCTTTAGCCAATAATGCAAACCCTTCATGCTGTCCTATCTTAAAAACACATGTATTTCTTTTTGAAGAAATCAAAGAGAGAGTTTGCTACTTAGACATAACTTTCCTAAAAATTGTTAGAGTACAGAAATTCAACCATCCGCTCTGTTACTCTGCCAGCAGGAGCCCTGAGAAGGTTTCAGTCCTGATGGACTAGCACTGCCCCACGCAGTTCTCTGGCAGAGTGCATGCATCAACATGGACCAGGGACCATTCCCTGAAGAGGCAGTTTGCATGTTCTGGCACTATTTAATTGACTAGTACTGATGTAGCCATTAAGTGCAAGACTGGAAAATACTGTTGAAGAAAGGACACTGTTAAACAAAACACTGCAACAAAGCATTAATAAAAACATGCAGTACTAATGAGATAAGAGTCCTGTGAGAGGCATCCTGAAAGCAGATCTCCCTTACACGCTTCTCTCTAGAAAGTAGTCAACATTTTGCAATATGTTGGAGATGTAACCTTGCAATGGGTTCCCAAATGAAAAATCTGTTTTGAAACCAAAATTAGCAAAACCCTGTTCATCCTCCAATGGAGAAAGAACTGCTGGCTGCATTTTTATTTCAGATAAAACCAACAGGAGAACTGAAATTCAAGTGGTAACATCTCCAAGGAAACAGCTGGAAAACTTGTGGTCTTTGCAGATGCTGTAGTATTCTGTATTCAGAAACAAATTGTAATATATTGTACTTTGCACTCTGGGGTGGGGGGGGGCGGAAATCGCAGACAAGGTCTTAGTAGGATGCCACAAACTGTGCATGCAGCAAAACAGACTTCTTGCACTGGATCTCAATGCAAAGAATACATTCTTCACATCAATTTGCTAAAATACAGCTAAAATTAGCACCATGAATGCTTTCACAAACCATTTTTTAGTAATTGCTGTATGTTTTCTGTTCTTGTCAAAAGAAGCGTTCTTTAGCACAAAGGAATTGCGATTTCCTCTCTCCACGCACCTCAAGCCAAGATGCTACTAGCAAAACAGAAAGGAACCATTTTCACTTTCGCCTCTCTTCTTACTGAGGAGCGATGTGGTATGGACATTTCTTCGCCATATGAAATTCCCAGTTCAAATTGACACCCACCCAGCAGCAATAGGGAAACAGGACTGGCATATGCCTTAAGTGAACAAGAAACAGGGAATCCAGAGAATATAGAATTAATTATCTTTAAGCATCTGGCTCCTGCCTGCACGTTGTCCTCACTCACACTCTGGCCCTTGTCACAAGTACTTGTCGAGACAGCGCACTTTGGCTTTTCAACATCCAGGGACGTTACACAGCTGGAAACACACAGAGAGGCTCTTCACTTCAGCACTCCGCAGCTTGGATCAAAGTTGTGGTTTCCTGCTTTTCGGGGTTTTTCGGTGGGATGGCAGAAGATTTTTTTTTTTTTAAATGTCTATATTATAGCTATTCTGTTTAAGTCCCCCAGCATACATGAATCTTATGCCAACAAGAGTTACTCTTCCCATACAATTCACCAGCTTCCCCAGTTATACAACCTATACGCCTGTAAAAGCTTTCTATAGCTACCATAACTGCTAATATAAGATAAATTAAGACACAAAGGTAGTCCCGACCTTGACTTCACACACATGCAATGAACCGATGCCACTCTTCTTAGTCACAATGCCTTGAAAACGAAATAGGAGAAAGGGCTGCAGCTCTTTCTTATATAGCTCCCTTCTTCATGATAATGCTTAATGTATCCTAAAAGCACATCTGTCCACCCTAATGACGGTACTTGCAGAAAGACTCTAAAATGGAGGCTGGCAATTTTCTATCCTCATAAGCTCTGGAAAGCAGCCCTTGAGAATAACAACCTGTGACGGGACCAAATCAGCAAGGTCAGAAATAGCAGTGTTTGGAGGAGGAAGACACCCGTGGTCACGCAGCCTGTCTCCTTGGGCACTAAGAGCACGATGGTTCCCCGCAGCGTGTCCTCTGGTATGCTGCTTACAATGATAGTATTGTCTGGACAAAGCTACGAAGGAATTTGACTCCATGATGAATAAGCATCTGCCGATGCTCATTTTCTACCTAACACAATGAATGTTCACAGCAGTGGCGTTGGCTGCAGTGGGTTTATTTTCAGATTAAGAGAGAGAGAGATAAAAGAAAGGGATAAAGCAAAGGTACCTGAAATTACTGCAATTTTCCATGACCCATGCTCCTCCTTGGCTATTCTTTCTGCTTCCTCCATTAGTAACATACCAAATCCCTATAATGGGAGAAATAACAGGAAGAAAAGATAAGTTCTGTAAAAATAGAAAGCATAAGCAAGGTCAGAATGTAAGCATTAGCACAGTTCCAAAAGACTTTGGCACAGGAACGATCAAAACCTTACTGCAGGAGAGGGCTTGAGAGGAGTACTGCAGGAGAGGTGTACCGACACTAAGCTTTACAGTGGAGCTTTGTCAGGGTTTTTTCCTGACCGTGAAATTATTCGTAGGCAGTTCTAGTGTCTGACTGCTTCTCAATGGCAGGAACAGAACGAAGTTAAATCCACTGATGGTACGTCAACTTGGTACGCATCCTGTAATTCCTGGCACTGAACAAGTCTATCCTGCTGAGATAACCAAACCTGAACAACAATCACCCATCTTAACATCTACCTTACTAGACCTGGGTTTGTGCTAGTGAATTAAACAAAGCCAGAGCACAAACGCCAGATGCAATTGCCTACGCTGTCGAATTGCAGAAGGATCCCAGTGCCATTCTGACGGGGGACATCAGTCGAAACAGATGTGGCCAGACACTACAGATCCAGAGACCCCTGCCGCTGTTCACTTTTCCAATATACATCTTGCCTTAGCCCCTCGCAATCTTTATTTCCACAACCCCTCCAGGAGTCGGGAGCCGTTACTGTGCTGGTTTCAGGATGAAGAATTGAGGCACGCAGCGACCACAGGGCTTGTTGGGGCTACCCACAAAGGCTGCATCAAACCGCTGCATGACCCTTGCAGACCTAGGCTAGGCTCACGCTCTGGACCGCTCTCCTAGGCTCAGCTCGTGACACAGGAGATGCCAAAAAGAATTGCAGAAGAACATGTTAATATTCTGGACCAGATCCTTGCCTCTATTTACGTTTGGAAATCTTGCACAGCAGGAGTGCTACTGGAATCACAATAATGCTTCAAAATAAGGGAATAGCCTTTCCACTGTATTTAATAACTTCGTTGTCCTATATATCTGGGAATAATTGATTGGATTAATTCACTCCTAACATTAGGATGCAGGAATTATACTCGGCTCTTTGTTCATCTGTTTTCCTGACAAGACGTACAGAATTGGGCTGTGGCAACACTGAAGCAGATGTGATTTAATTCTAAAAAGCATTTTACACTTACGGGCATTTTTAAATAACACACAGAAATCTTCATTCTAAAATGTCCTTCTAATCAGAAATTGCCCCCGCAACTGTGAAGAACACTTTCTGATTAACCTCTTGAACACTGACTATTCCGAATGAACATGAGTGCGTCATATGCCATGAAATTTCAATTTGCAGCCTATTTTACTGTTTGTAGTTGGCTACTTTCAATTGATTTTCTCCCTCTCTTTTTTGGTTGGGTGTTTTTTTTCTCCCCCTCCCCGCAAATACTTAGGATGACCACTTTTTCCTTTCTAAATTTTTAAGTGTTAACTATTTTATAGTGGAAACATCCACGTCTCTTTTTTTTTTTTCCCCCCAGCCACTGCCTAATGGTCACACATCATCAGCATCTAGCAAAACTGCATCTTAATGCATATACTCAGGGAAAGATTAATAAATACAAGGAAGTTAATTTAAAACATCAGCCCTGAGCACTTCTGGCAAAGAGGACAAACTGATTGCTTTTTTAAAAGCTCAGTCTAAAGGTTCAAAACCTACCGGGGAAAAATTTAATTCACATTTTTGCTCATCGCAAGCCACAGCATGTTACATGCAGCAGAATGATAATGTGCCATTTTCATACGAGTCACTGCAAGGAATTACAAACACAGCTTTCCACTCCATTCTTCACATGCTTTAAGATATGTATGAAATGGCCTCACAAGTGTATCTGAAGCAAAAACCTGTCACACCCAACTAAGAGACTTCACTCGGGAGTCCCACCAAATCACTTAAACCGATACACATCTCAGAACCAAAGTTGGATTGCTTGTTTTGGTAGGAAGAATGTATTCAATAAATGTTCCTTTGAAAGAAAACTGGGTAGAACCAAATAAAATCTCACCTTCCCCTATATAGTTATTTCATATTTCAGAAGTGAAATTAATCTATCAAACAAGATCAATTTTAGAAGGGAATAAAAAGACACAATGGATGTATCATCTCCTTTGTTTCGTTTTTAGTCAGTTTGCAGTGAAGTCTGATGTACCGTACAGGATATCAAAGGAAGGATGCTTCAGAACCAAAAATGCTTAGTACTCAAAAGCCAAATTAGCACCAGCATACATGAGCTCGTATTGTACGGGCATGAAGCAACGCTAATAGCATTCAGGCATGCTTTTTTTATCTCGGAGCAGTTGCAATTGCCTAAACATGACCACACTAGCAGAAACTCAGAAGCAGCATGATTTCAGTGGGTGAAATCCAAGATGGGGCTCAAATACAATTCTGTTTTTATTGCAGCGGACTATAATTAAAAGCAACTGAATGAACCTCAGATATTAAATAAAATTCTTCTCCAATCATATTGGGGAGAGGGAAAGCGGGTGCAAGAAAGAGGCACAGATGAAAAATAAAGATGGCTTGGAGTACCTGGTGCTGAAATTTTGAAGGATCTCGACTGCTCACAGGGACCACGCTCCCATACACGTGCAGTTCCCGGACGATGGAAACGCCTCCTTTCAGCTCAGGTCTGAATGACTCCTCTGAACACTTCCGCAGTCGTAGAAGGCCAACGAGAATATCCTGCTCTGGATCTTCATAGGACAGGAAGGTCTCCCAGCCACCATTAGCCACATAATCTCTTCTAACTAATTCAATCTGGTCAAAGAGAAGAAGCAATGACGAATACAAGGAGGAAAAGAAGAAAGGAAAACTTCTTTAAAAATATTTAAGCAACACATTGAACAGACCAAAACCAATTTCATGGATCCATAAACTATTATGATTCAGAGAAAACATGAAGTGCTTTCTTAAAGGCCAATTTAATTCTAGATGGATTTTAGCAGTACTGGGTAAGAACTGCTGTTACTGCAGTCACATTAAAGATAAAACATGCGACTACTTTAATAGAAATGTATTTGCCAATGGGACAGAACTAGTCTTCTATCCCTATTTGCAAGCTTTCAAGAAGGGCTGGTAATCCACATGGTTACCTGTTTGCAAGTCAGAAACCTAAACCTATGTTTCCTGAGTTACTCAAGTTTCATAATCACTGCAAAATCAATGGGGGCAGCAACTCTTGCCACTAACCAAGGGACTTGCTCTAACTGAAATTCGGCTCCAGTTACAAACTTGCTAATGTAGAATGAGTAGTTTTGCATCTGCTTTCACTAAACCTGCATTCAGGTCCATGTCTCTACTCCTTTGCAAAAGAAATGGCTTGAGACGTCTACAGAACATGGGTCTTCTAAGCAGCAGTCAAATTCTTTACTAATTACCAATTAGTTCTTTCCAGCACTGCACAGGATCTACCTACATAAGTAAACTGTGCAGTGCAACAGGAGTGGATCTGAAAGAGTTTGTGTTGAGTGACTATTGCATTACGTGTGCTTTACAGAATCAGCATGAAGTGTTTTCTTACTCATTCAAATAGTACTGAAGACACCAAAACCATCCAGACAAGTACCCTGAGAACTAACCAGTAACAACATATTAATTGCTTCAAATCCAATTTTGGTAACAATCTAGACAAAGGCAGCTCTGAAGATCACAAGAAGTGGAAGGGAAAAGTGAAGTAAGAGTTGGCTGACTGTGGAGAATACAATAAAGACCATGCTTGGGTAGAAGAAATTACTTCTGCAGAGCACCTAGAAGCTATAAAGAGTAATGGGTGGATAAGAGAGCAGTAAGAAGAAAAATCTTCTTTTTCAGACAGTCCTGACCTACCATCATCAAGGAGCAGCCCCAAGACCCAAGGTGAGACTCCCTTATGGCAACGTGAGACCTGATCAAACCTCACATAACGGTAGCTGTGTTTATGTAGCAGAGTTAGCACTGAGTTAATTTGATGTAACCTGTAGCCGATGATGATAATGTCACACCTTTGGTGACATAGTGAGCCACTCTATTTGCGTTTTGAATTGATACTGTATAGCTGAAATAGCTACCCATCCTTGCTGTAGGGACTCCCTTGCCCAGCTGTAACAACCAGACCAAAATTATTTCCCAAATTTCCTGGCTCAACAGAGGAGTGGCAGCAATAGTTTGCAATATTGAGGGCGTGATGATGACACAGTATATGTTGGGAGGGTTTCAGTACAGACTAGTCCTGGTCTCATGCCATGAACTAGGCGCCCATTACCAGCTGGCATACATTAGGTGCGCTCCTGAAAGCTGCTTTCTAAATTAATCTGAAAGAAATCAGGTTTCTGTGCTTCCTGATGCTTTCAAAGTGGGGAACAACCAGAGGATTTGCTTCACAAGCACGCCCCTGATCTGAACTAAAACTATCATGTAGATACTCCTGCCATTGTTTTGAGAGACTCCTTTAACTTTAGGAATTCAAATATGAATGGCAAGTGTCAGTGGATGCCCTGTGCTCCAGCGTTGCACTGGTGTTTCTAACATTTACATCCTGACAGTGCAGTGTAGGGTTGATCCCTATGTATACGTTGCCACGCTTTTTTCCCAGTACTACCATAAAGACTAAAGCAAAGGACTTCAGTATTTTTTCTGCAAATCCTCTAATACCCAGAAATCCATGAATTAAAGATTTGTTTACGGAAAAGCCATAAGGGATTCTGTCGCTTGCCTGCTCTACTCCCTGACGAAGCCTGGGTGAACACAGCTCACAATTAAATCCCTTACTGACTGCAGAAGCAAGGCTCATTTCAACGTTGATGTACAGCTCACGGGTTAAGCGCCCAAGCAGATGTCTGCCGATGTGCCAAGTTCTCCAAGAGCACAACTCCGCTCCAGCTTGTGAGTCAGGACGGCTGACACACACCGATCCAGATCTACCATTAGGTACGTAACACCGCTAGTAAAACGGAAATGTACAGGAAAACAAAAGAGCACGAGATTTTTAAAATACTCAGATTCTGCAGTTAGTTTCATACGTGGAAAAGCAGTTAGATTAAAGCTTACTGCTAATTTATATAAAAAAGCAGAAAATATTATTAAACACCGCTATACTAAGAGTTCAAAATGGCAAGATTGGAGAACTCCTGGTTTCTCTCGAGGACAAAACACAAGTAGAAAACATGGCTCCATTCCTTGTCCTCCAGTAGGGAGATGGAATCATAGATGCCCTGTTATGCCCACATCCAGTCTGAAAGCCACTTGTAGACAGAAACGAAGTAAGACTACAGGAACCTTCACCAGGAGGCTTTATATTGTGTGCATTTTTATAGCATCACAAATACGTACCAGATAAGCTGATCTGCTCAGAAAAGTCCCTACTGGATCAAGTCTTTTGTTCTCCCCGCTTCCCTGGGCACAGAGGGTCCTAGGATATATAAATCCCCTCAAAGGGTTTTCAGGGACTCGTGAAAAAAGTACAAAGCCTTTTCCTTCTGGGACACTGGCACAAACGTGGCCAAAGCCAGCCTGCATCACCTCCCGGTCGGTCGGTGCACGGCGACGCGTGGCAGCGTGCTGCAGTTCCCAGTGTCAGTCCCTTGTCCGTAAACCATCCTGTGCGCTGGGTAAGAATAACCCTCATCAGGGTGGATCACCATTTCAGTATGCAACCCTATTAAATGTCTGGCACAGTCTGTTTTAAACTTACTCTGACAAACAAAGGGAAAACCCAGTTGCAGATTACATTCTTGACCTAAAGCAGCTACTCCCAGCTTAAAAATCTGCCTTATTCCTACTAAGGCGCTACACTGAAATCATTATCTTGACACCCCCCCCGGCTTTGCAGGAACAGCAGCTTCTACATCTTACACTTTCTGCTTTAACACTAATGTAGGTTCATATCTGTAAGAGAGCTGTCATTGCCCCTCGCCTGTCAAAAACTGTCAATCCAACGTCTCTTTTCAGCAACAATTCACTAGAGCATTTTTAAGGCTATTACGTAGCCTTAACCATTCTGAGAGCAAGCAAATACCTTCTGCTGCTATGGAGAAACGCCCCTAATTGAAAAGGCAGTTTAGAGACAGCTCTGTAAATAACCAGCTACAGGCAAGTAATCTACTTCAAATTGATTTTGTAAAAGAATACTTTTAAAAGCAGACACACCATCACCATTATAAAAATACATACAGCCTACTGATCCTTAACAGAAAGAAGTTGCATAAAGTATAATTAATTACAGCAAGCGATTAATTTATTTTAGATCTGACATGATAGCCTCTCTTATCAAGAGGATGCGTTGTTTACTTATGAAGCCAAGAAAAACATCATACCTTGTCATTAGTCTAAAATGCATGAAAAATTATACCATCTTCAGAATATTTCTCTTGCTTGCTGTCATGATAAATTTTGCTAAGACTACATAATGACATCCTCCTGCCACTCAGACAGATGAGTTTAACAAAGGGAATTTGCAACATAACGTTGCTTTGAAAACCCTGTGATAAGCTATTTGCTAACTACTCAAGAAATTTACAATTTAAATTAGATTAGCTGTTGACAACAGACGTCTTTGGAAGATATTTCATGAAATGACCAGAGATTAGATAATGGGAGCAGAGCACAAAGGCTGCATGGCCCATGTACAAATGAGTCCGTACAGCCTCAGTTTTTGCAGAAACCTGGTAAGAACAAGATAATTTTTTTGGGATCATTATACATTTCCATACTGGATTTCTGTTATGCAAGATGGGAAGTGTTGCACTCCATCTGAATTCACATAACGGCAGGAGAAAAACAGAGTATGGCTCCCAGTAATCTCTGATTTGTAAAGTGACAACATCTTTCAGATGCTAAACTCGGAGAATATTCATGCTACTTAACTTCTGGCACCAAACTCAGAGCCTCTTTGAAGCCTAAATAATCAGTGGAGCTTCCAAAGTACAACTGAGAGGACCTCTGTTAGGAATCTCTATCTCCGCTGACACAGAGAAAGCCTAACCCCAGTTTAGTGGCTCACATTTAGAAAGTGGGTACGTGCCCATTGCACAGAAGAGGAGAGAGGTGTAAGTGTCATTCTGATTCAGCTGGGGCTGGCAGTATCTTCTGCCTGGCACAAAGAATTCTTGTTTGAAAGTAAAGGAGATATATGATGGACAAACTCTACAATCATTTCAAGTCCTTCCTCAATGTCCACAAAGGAAGAGGAAGAGAACACTTCCAGGCTATGATTCACTAGCCACAGCATCCACGTATACTCAGATGGATCCGACCCTGTGTGATCTTAGAAAGCTCATCTCCTTGGGTGCCACACATGGACCTCCTGACAACCTTCTGGAAGGATTGATCCCTCCTTGGAACTACAGTGAACTGGAGGATTAGTGTCCTTGAAGTTCAGCAGCGAACATTTTCCTTGCTATAAAATAAGCATAGCAACCTTTCTGTGGACTATTTTAGGAAGGTAAAAAACAACATATGTGTCATATGCTGACTAGATCTACTCGAATATAAATATATACATACATGTACAGAAGTGTATTTATACATATACTGATTGCCTATATAAACATGCACATTCACAAAAAAGGCTGTAAATTCATCTTGCTAAACATTCATTCCTGTTCACCATGCACACAGTGTGTTTCTGGTATTTTCTAAATTCCAAATTTGTAATGAGGAGGGAGAATCGGGAAGGTTGAGAAGCAGTAAGAAAGAGCTGCTTATTTTGTTATAATGGTGCAAGTACCAAAATAACTGCTGGCTGCAGTCAGTTTATTGAACATGGTGGTCCATACATTTCAACATGTGACTGTGCTCAAACAAGAGACGTCCAAAGCTGCTGTGAAAATAAATGGAAAACTGGATCCAGCTACAAAGGCAAACCACAGGATTGGACGTGCAACAAATGGGTCTCAACGCCTCCACACCAAACACATAACAAATTGTGTCTGAAACAAGCTCCTAGAAAAAACACAAATTTTACCTGATACGGTCTAACTTTATGGTGAATTTCTTGAATTCCAACCTCTCTTGTCCTTACATCACGACACTAGGAAAAGAAAGGGAGGAAAAAAAAAATTACATGGGAGAAAAACATTAAGCTCTGAAACATACAGATATCCAGCCACCTATTGGGTTCAAAACTAAGCTGAAATAGCATGAAGTTGCAAGGATGAATTTCAAATGGGTAGACTTCAAAATAAAAATGCTCACCGATCCATCCCTAATATACCTTGGAAAAAGGTCTTAGTGCTAAATGGAAAGACATGCTGGCAAAAATCAATTCACTAAGCAACCATTATGGCTCATGAGGAAACGTACCCTTTGATTCACAAACAGCAGGGTCTGGAGGCAAAGTCAACATAAATGAAAGGATAACAGAGAAAAAAAGACTTTGGGATAATCCATTTTTACCCTACACTGGGAAGGTCTAACATTGGCAAAATCTACGCTAAGGCACCAGAGAGTCCTGAAATAGCCAGTTTTTGAATCTCCGCAACCCTGTTCTTGCTTTTAAATGATCACATGAAAACTGTTGCAGAAGTCCTACCCAAATATCAGAAAGAATGCTGATCTGGCACCCACAGAGCATCACTGCGGCTTGGGACCAATGATGGAGAAAACAAAAGGCAGCCAAAGAAATCTTCCCTCCCTTACAAGTCAGACAGAGGAGGAGACGAGGCTCCAAGCTCAGTGCTTGAGAGATGGGTTATAGCTTGCATCAACTTTTGTGCTTCTCAGCAAAGCCAATGAAAGTTGAGTAATTTGGCACCCATTCACGTAAGCAAACAGTTGTGATAGTACAAGCACTCCTACTGCGGGAGACTGTGCATTCGCGTCTTAGTGGGTTTACTGGAAAGTCCAACGCTAAGCTTAATCCAACTTTTGTCAGCAAAGTGCAGCCACAATACTTTCACCCACAGCATCTGAGTTGCAAACGCTCGTTTCATTCCACTAGTGCTGCTGTACTTGGAGGGAAGGAAGATAACCGCCACCAATGGGCTAAAATTGCTCTAACAGCAACAACACCTACCTGCCCGTGTATTTCCGAAAGCCAGACTTTTAGACAGGGAAAGAATGTGTGAAAATCCAATTCACACAGAAACTCAAGAGTACCCAGAACAAGCACAGCTCTATCTCATGCCCTGTCCTCCTCTGAATGCTTTTAAATTCCATTACCAAAAGAAAGCAACAATCTCCCAAACAGCAGAAAAAAGTGGGGTTTTGTGTTTGTTTTTTAAGAGTGGGCTATGGTAAAACCGGGATTCACTGTCGTACCAGGATTCTAGAGCAGACAAACTCTTCTCTGCTTTACAATTTCCCAGCTACTCAAACAGCACAGTAAAAGGCAGAGGAATACCCACTCTTCATTAAAAACCCCAGAACTGAGGAAGGACAATGTACTCTGGGATGCTGCTTTGAAATTCTGTGTCCCAACTGTGTATCTCCACTTGCACTCAGTGGCTGGCAATCACGAAGGCCAGCATCTGGTCCCTCCAATAAGGCTCCTCAAGAATAATTTCTTTCCAACAACCACAGGCGCAAGTTGCAGTGTTGGCATGACTGATCCGCAACCCTCAAACGCTCTCCTCGCCAAGCTATTCCCCAAAGACAGATGTCAGAACTGCCAGAGCTGCTGAGCTGGCTGATCTTTACTATTGAACCTGCAAATATGTAAGATTCCTACAAGTCCCTTCCTTGCCTTGGCCTTTTCCTCTACTTTTCCAAGCTAAGAGACAAGAGGACAAAAGCATATTTATAGTTTTCTCCTATGACACAAGAAAAACACAACAGTACCTTACATTTCAAGCTATATTGCAGCAGACTCTTTGGTTCCTCATTCCACTAGCTGCAGTGTTTCTGCCTCAGTAAATTAAAATCTATAATCATCTGCACAGCAGAGATATTTACAGATTTGGTTCTTCTAAAAGCAATGACTGCCAGCCTGACAAGCCCTTTAATGGTTCAGCTCAGCCCTGGATCAGCTATCCCTGCTTCTCCAGCTGGTCTTGATCAGGTTCAGATCAAATGATGTGATTTTAGTATCAAACCCAGAGAAGAGTTCACTAGTAGCCCTAAAGAGCTCAATTGAAAAGGCTTAGCTGCACCACGGAGGTTGCCTCCCCTGCCTGGTTTTGAAGTGAAAAGTCAGCAGGAGGGATGGAAGCTTCTGTGGCTGGCAAAGCTGTCTGCCAAATCCTGGCTTGCTTCTGGAGAGAGACTGGGAGGAATGATTTAAGGAGAAAGTCCAGGACAACAGCTTAGGAGAGATTAAGTGGTATGGAAAGCCCAGCTGGAAGGAGTTTATTTTCTGTTCTTTTGCACTGCAACTGCAAGGTCCAAGTGAGATGGCAAAGGCAGTAAGGAGCTAGATGTAGCCTAGAGAACCACCCATGTTAAATACTAACAATATAGGTCAGCAGCACAAGTTGATGTGGGGCTACAGGCACACACGCAGTAGCTGAAGACTCTACTATTGCTGGATGCAGTAACGCCTTAAAACCTCTTTAAGAAAAGGTGAGCTAGAAAGAGGGAGCACTAAATCACAATACAGAGGCATGGAACAGTTGTGGTGAGAATCATAGAATCATTAAGGTTGGAAAAGACCTCTAAGATCATCAAGTCCAACTGTCAACCCAACACTACCATACCCACTAAACCATGTCCCTAAGCGCCTCATCTACACGTCTTTTAAATACTTCCAGGGATGGTGACTCCACCGCTTCCCTGGGCAGCCTGTTCCAAGGCCTGACCACTCTTGCAGTGAAGAAATTTCTCCTAATGTCCAATCTAAACCTCCCCTGGTGCAACTTGAGACCACTTCCTCTCGTCCTATCGCTGGTTACTTGGGAGAAGAGACCAACCCCCACCTCGCTACAACCTCCTTTCAGGGAGTTGTAGAGCGCAATGAGGTCTCCCTTCAGCCTCCTCTTCTCCAGGCTAAACAGCCCCAGTTCCCTTAGCTGCTCCTCATAAGACTTGTGCTCAAGATCTGCCCCTGCCTGAACACCAGGACACCAAAGCAATGAAAGCCCTTTAGAATAGTCTCAAGGATCACGAGGTTTGTGTGATGTTTCGCCTAGGAAGTTGGACATCCCAAGAAAAGCAGAACTTGGGCATAACTTTCCTGGAGGATCTACAAACCGTGGCTGATAACTGGGCTTCAGGGGGAGGCTCAAACAGTGAGCAGTGTCAGAGCAGACCATGAGGGGCACTGTGAACGCCGACTGCCACAGCAACCTTCTGAGAAAAATCAAGACTGGGTATACGTACCTTCTTCTGACTTCAAATATAAATGCAATTCTTCCTCCCCCTCCTCCTTCTCTCCACCCCTGCTCATATTTTTATTTGACCTTAGAAATATCAAGAATATCAAAACTCATTTGTTTGGGCTGAAATCTCTCTTGCAAGATTTCTCTGGCCTCAGAGTAAGAGCTTTTCTTCCAATTGTTCAGTCAAGTAAGGGCATGCGTGGGAAAAAGAAAGGAAGGAGAATTTCTAATAGCATAAATTAAAAAGAAACCTTCCTGCCTTCTCTCTGATTTAAGGGTTTCATTCTGTTAAAAAATGGAATATCACAAACTAGTTACCAAGTACCTTCAGGAAGGAGGTGAAAGTGCTAAACTAAAAATCAACGAAACAAAAACAGCTTTTCAGAAGTATCATCAAGGTGCTTTTTAGTCACTAAAATTTTTTTTAAAGACCTTTGCAGATCATTTTAGTTCAGCAGTAAACCTGGCTCCTGTCATGTCTTCTGGTCATTACTTTCCTCTCTGCTACTTTGTGTAAAGTCATCAAGCAGCTCTCCCTCAATACCAATTGACAAATATTTTACCTGTGTCCCAAGATCTTTCATCCTCGCCAAGGCAAGCTCTCTCAGGTTCCCGTGCTCCACTCCAGAGCTGACTAGTGGCATTGGGATATCTCTGCATGTAAGAGGAAAAACAAAAACCTCAAACAACTGCATTAGCAGACAATACACCATAAAGCACCATTACGGTCACCTAAGCCAAGATCCCAAATAGCAGACCACAGAATTATCTGAATTACCTTTGTTTCAAGTCTTTGGTCAAAGAAGAAATAACACAGGCAAAACACAACTAAAAGCAGGAGAAAAATGAAGGGAAAAAGCTACAGGTTTTATTTTAGTAAAAAGACTGAAGACAAAAGTAGGCTTTTACAATCCTGAGAAATAGATTATAATTTTGCTCTTAGTTCTTCACTTGGAAGTCTGGGAAAAAAAGGATCATCCAGCTGAGCCTGTGCCTCGCCTAGGACTCCAGGTAGATGTTCTTCATGGTATCTGTTGCTGGAGACCAGCAATTGGGAACCAGACAGCGTCTTTCTGCAGTCTCCGAGTTGAATGCCCATCAGGGAAAATTCATCAGAATTACAACATTTTTATATTGGGACGCTAGCTGCTTAAAAGTGAAAAAGTTCTGTTTAGCAAATGATTTGCAGCAAAGCCCAGCCAGAAAGTCTAGGGCCTTCCTATGGGAACGTAAATCATGAGTCTGCAAATGGCAGAACTCCTTCCTTCAGTTCTCCAAGGGAGGTACTAAAATGAAATTTGAAAGCAAGACCAGGTTTGGCCTCTCCACTGCCTTCCAGGGCAGTTTGTCCCTCTAGAGATTAGGAAAGCAGGATACCATGCTTTTCCAAATGCTTTTCCCTTCCCTTGCACCCTGGCACCCCTGATAACACACCACCCAAGTGCACCACTGTGTAATCCAAACCCCCTCAGATCTTCTACAGGGAAATAAGGACTATACAGACATGAAAGATACTCAGTACATTGTACAACAGGTTGGTCTCAAAACAGGGCTCAAACATTCCTTGGTGAGTACTCCTCCTTTTTCTTTATCTGTGCAAGCATTCAACAGAGTAAAGAACAGAGTATCACATAAAACACACAGAGAATGGGGTGGTTCAGGGAATTGGTAATGTAATTAGCTTAATCCATCTTGGTTCAGTAGTGATTGAAAGTCATCACCATCTAGCACCTGTGTGATGACCTCTGTAAAACGTATTAATTGATCTATTCAGTTCCTCAAGGACCTTAATTCACATCATGGCCCCCATTAACAATTACTATTTTTGGCAGTAGCTGTATAAAAGATAAAGGTCTTCAAGGGTCCTAAAGACCTGATCCTTGTGCTGCTTCAGCCGTGTAGAAGTCTGAGACACTGGCAAGGGGGGCAAGAAAAGGAGTTCTCCTTTACTGTTACGAAGGAAAACAGGGGCCTTCAGACTCCAGGATTCTCCTCCCATTTCAGCATCGCACTCCAATTTCAGTACAACTTTCTCCAGCATAATGGGAGCCCTGTGTTTTACTTTCCTCCCCTGTTTTCCCTGCTCTTTTTTCTATAAAGCCAAAGGGTCTATGAAAAATTCCTCGCCTCTTACACTCGCATGCCCAGAAGTTGAAGCAAAATACAATTAGCTAACCAGTTCATTTATTCAGTGGATTTCTTTGAGTAAATAAGACGCTGCAGAGCCAACACAACATACTTCAAAGAGCTTCAATTAGAGGAAATGAGCACTTCACATTGTGACTAAAGGACGTACTAGAGGAGAATGGCATTTTCATCAGGGTATGTTAGATATACAGTGAGAATCTAACTAGACGCCTTTCTTCTAATTATGGAACAACTCCAAAAAGTCAGGCTGTATGTATTTCACAGCTAAAACATCTTCCAGGTCTTTAGCTAAATCCAGAGTCAGCTATGAAATAGTAAATAAAGTACTGCAAATAAAAGATAGATTACTAACTTGAGCCTCTCTCATCTGCCTACTAGGGAGCAAACTAAATTAAAATATGAATGTGAAAAATAAGCTTTTTAAGAAAAAGAAAGCAAGAAACAGGTTTTCCATCCCCACTTCAGATTAGGGCAGAGTACTTAAATAAGTATCCTGTGTGCATCATGAGTGTACACACTAACTGCCTACTTTGAATAGCCACAAGACAGCATTGTACCAGTGATTTTAGGACTTGTTAAAATGCTCAACACATTCAGGGATACGGGGGGGATTAAATCCTGACCTTATTAAAGTTAATGTGCAATTTGCCAGAAGCTTCAACAAGGCCTATTTAATCTTCTATTTTTCAAACATTTTGATTACTTAGGACAGTTGTGAAGCAGCTGATTGAAGCACACAGTGAAAGTCTAAAGACCTCGAGTCTGCTCTCAGCTCTGACTTATTATATGATCTCGGTTGAGTAAGGCATTTTATTTCTTCATACCCACATCTCCCCATCAGTACAGTGAAAATAACAACCATATAAAACACCGAGATCCACGACAGGAAAAGTCTCAAGGTGTGTGCCACTACTCCTGTCATTTCACACCTTCTCACACACCAAAGCACTTCGGTGATAATGAGGTTCACAAACATTCAGGATAAATACAGTATTAAGCATCTCTGACAGTTTCAAAACACCCTGGAAGATATATTCTCCTTCAATCAGCCATTAGCAACTGCATTTCTTTTTCTTTTTCTTTTTTTTTTAAACATATTTAACCTGGTTTCCTGAAGCAGAAAGACTTCCACAGTGTTTTGTCAGTGACACCTCTCCTATACTCACCCGACTCCTTAAACTGATTATTTTGAGCATGTGAGGGACTATAAAAACATTGAGACCCTTATGTTTCCTCAAAACCTGGTACTAACAGAAGTCCCAAACAGTGGTCCTAATAAGGAAGGGCATAGATAGCTCAGTCTTTTTCTGGTGGTGTTTGCTAGAAAACCTGAATGCACGTACCAAACGGCCAGTCAGTATGCAGAGAGCTCGGGACAAGCTGCCATCCGGGGCACAAGCTGAATCTGAAAGGATTGCGGAAATAGAGCCTGAAATGTAAAATGCGAAGGATGGAGGACTTGTGGCAGCAGGCTGGAGGGAGATGGAAAGGGCCTGGGGCAGCAATGGAGAATGGGGAAATAGGTGCTGTCCTCAGTGAAGCAGCGTGGGGAACAGGCCGCAAATGTTTTTAGAAATCTGGCTTTGTTCATTATTCTGCTACAGTGTGACACAATGGCCCTGAAAGCAATTTAGACCAAAGTAATAGCTTTGGGACTTTGCACTGGAGGTGTAAAAATCTGTAATCACCACCAACAAGTTTTAGATAACATGAGCCAGTCAGTAAGAAAACAGCTATTCCACTGGAAGATAATAACTGACAACCGGATGACAGCTGGATGGAGGCTGCTGCCGTTGACAGAAGAAATCATAGTCAAGCTCAGGCAAATCAGCACACCAAGCCGAGACTCTTCCAGGCCTGTGTTCCTTAGAGAAGACCTGCTAGGCTGCAAACTCATGTCATCCTCCAAGAATAAACCTGTTCATTTTAGATACGATGCTATGGTGATAGCATCATGAACAAACGGGCCATTGCATCTGTAAGAGTGGAATCAATGAGGAAGAAGGAGATGTGCAGCGAGAAAAGATAGGATTTTTGCCTTTAATAATGCTCCTACAAGTGACGTGAAAAGCCTGGGGCAATATCAAGCAGATATTTCCTGTTAGCCATGTTTTGCCTTCTTCATCAGTATCACATCCTTCTTCTCAGAGTTCAGCTACAGCTGAATAAAGTAACGAAGATCTGAAGAAAGGATCTCCAGGTGGCTGAATCTGTGTCTCAGTTACTACAGACTGCTGGATCACGATCACATTCATAATCAAGCTTCACCATATTCATGTTTAGCTTCTCTTCTTCTTTGGTAACTTTGGAAAGCTACTCCAAAATCTCAGCCCTGACCAAAAATTCCCAGTTTCCTGCCTCGTTTTATGCAAGGCTACTTCTTATTTTCTTGTTCTCTGCCCAAATCAGTGTTCCTATTTCTTAAAAGGTTATTTTCCTTCTCTCATAGATTTGCAGAGGTCATTTATGTCCACATCTATCCTTCAGACAAAAGACTGATGCTCCTCTGCACATATTTCCACAGTTTATTTTCTTGAAGATGGGGGTTATTCCAGACAAGGTCTTACCAAAGCCCTGTCTGGCTGCTGCATTAATACTTTCATCTCTCAGAAGAGTTATCCTGAAAAAAAAATGCTTTTCATGGCTGCATTCACCAGTGGCTTATTCATATTACAGACCAAGACATTAAAAACTCTTCCTCCTCTGCTATTTTCACATGGTAATCTCATGGTTTGCAGCAAAACCCCCTCCAAGTTTGACCTCAAACTTCCCTGAACTGCATCTCATCCCATCTCTATCACTCCAGCTTCACCACCACCAGATCCTGCTTGTGCATCCTCGCTCTTTCAATGATGCGTCCCAGCCCTGCAAGGTTTCCTCAATGCCCTATTACTTTTTGTGTCATTATAAATAAATACAATTTTGAGCAAGATTAGTTTTTAAATGGATATTTGAGAAACTCCACTAATAACCCTGAGTCCATACTTTCTTTGCGAAAGCTACCCAGCATTTCTTGCCTTCAGCCACTTTCTTCTGCACCATGTTTCTCTGCTTATCCCTGTTCCATCATATTTCTGGTAGGGCACAAAATCAAATGCCTTAGAGAAGTCCAGGCAGGCGAGGTCTAATGCACAAGGCTTTCTTACTCTGCGTGCTCTTGGAGAGCCAGGCATTGGCACTGTTTCCAGCTCAGGTAGCTGGAAGCCAACTGAGTATTGCCTGCACATGCAATAATAGGCAAGTATGCTACAGCCTCCCTTCCTAATATCAGACAGATGTAGGAGATAACAGAAGAAAAATAATCCGACGAAGACCTCATACTGAAAATACAGTGCTAAATGAAAGTATTATCTATCATCCTGGGAGGTGAGTGCGGAAATAATGGCACTACCATAGTACATTTATGAAAATCCTGCAGCACCTACGGGGAAAGAAAGAAGTCTCTATAGCCAAAAAAAATGACACACCTCGCAGCTCCTGCAATAAATATAGGAAACTTCACCCACAGTCAAGAGGCAATTATCCACCAATATCATTAAAGTACTGTGTGTGCCACATGCTATGCTCTTGTCTGACTGCAACGAAAGCAGGGCCTCCAGAAATCTTGAAGTTTCTGGGTGCATTAGAGAGGCAGTTCAATTTAAATAGTTTCTCATTCTACTTGGCCTTTCCCATTCTGAACAGATAGGAAGCAGTTTTAAAAATCTTTAGTGCACTAATGATTAAGGCTGAAAAATAATAAAAGGCCGAGTCCAATCTTGCTGTGATTAAAGTAAGAATCCCTCCAAGTGCAATAAATCAAGATTCAAGGTCCTCCACAGAAAATTACCTCTGAACACGGTACACACGTGTCCACGGTGGGACAAGGGCCAGGATTCTGGCCACTAGATCCACAAGCGTGCTGGGGGGATAGCTTTTGTATCTTCCAGTCTTCCAGAGCTCGTACAGACCAGTGCCACGGATCACTAGTGTCGGATAGAGCTTCATGCCGTCTGGGCGAAAAGCAGGATTCTCAAAAAACTCCTGCAAAAGTGGAACAAAAAATGCAAGTCAAGGCAAAACAAACTACATTTCCTGGGGCTTTAGCGCCCCAACAAAAGTAATTTCAAGACAGATTTTGTAAAAGACAATTGTAAGTACGGTTTAAGAATTACTGGCTTACATTGAGTTCCCAGTATTTATCAGTTTACGACATTTTTAGAAATAAAAGAGCATGTTCTAGATTTAAAGAGAAGGCCACTAAAGAAAAAAAATCCATATGACAATGCTACGAGTCAAATCTGTACATTACTTCTACCTTTCAGCACAAATTCAATAGATATTGCACCATTTATTCTAACACACTCTGCTCAGAATTAGAACAATAGAAATGAGTGTACTTATCTTCAATCTCAGCAGACCACATTTAGAGATTAATCAATGTGTCTGGGACACATCATTTGAATAGCAATGAAGAAAAACAGATTTATTCTACAATGATGTTTTGAACAATCCGGGAGAACAGGAGGACAAACTGTATCTCTTGCTAACTTCTATGACTAAATCCCAGTATAGAACTGCAAATTGAACAGCACTAGCTCGCACTATGCAACAACCACATTGGTTTTTTGCAGATTAAATTTCAGTAATGACAATTAAAATAAAATCACTTACAAAAAAATCAAAAACCAGGCAAGGCACCCTGAACCAAGCAACCATTAAATTGACTTAAGCGATGACATGGCCCTCATTATAATAGCATCTATGGGCCAGATATAATACTGGATTAGACTGTTGCACACTTGAAATCCAGCGCTTGATCCCTCTCCAGCATGGTATTCTCATAGTAACAAAAAAAATACAAGTTTGTTAAGCTGAGTTAATGGCAGGCTACTGTGGTCCCACCAGTTGCTGCGCTAGCTTTGGTATTCACCAGCACTTCGCTGAAGTGCTTCAACACGTTCATGTGGCCCAGACCCACTCAGACATTTTGCTACATTTCCTACTGCTGCTGTGTGTTAAACCAGCTCCTGGAGTGCTCCAGCAAGCCCCGACGTTGGAATAAAGTGCCATTAGCAGCCTGCTGGGAGCAGGACCTCCCCACCCGGGCAGCACTAAGCGGCTCTGTTGGCTCCCCGTGCTTCACAAAACCATACTTCAACACGATAAAAAGCAGCAAATGGTTTGCTGCTAGCTTAAGCACACCAAAATGGATCCACACAGACTTGAATGCATGCTAGATCCAGCACAAGGACGGGAGGAGGCGAGCAAGGACAGAGGAACGGCAGGACCACGTCAGCCCAGGCCGCTTCTGGCAGGCTCCCTGCCTAAGCCTGGGGCCAGCTCCAGCAGCCTCTGTCCTGCACGCCGCACTCCCATGCCACCCTGCCTGCTGGGCAGCTACAGAGAAAAACCAGACCAGAGAGCTAATCCAGCTGAAAAAAGAAACCGGTTAAAAAAAAAAAAAAATCTTTTCCAGGCAGACCAGCCTCCTGAGCCATTTATACACATCCTCACAAACAGAGAGACAGGGACAGCTGAGTCAGTTTAAGAGACAAAACAAGATCTGGACCATGGATAAAGCCCACACTGCTGCTGCAAAATTAACTGTCAAATCCTGCATTCATGGTCTGATGAAGCTTCAGCCATCATCATCCCAGCAGCACTGCTGGCTTAAGGAGCAGTAAGTCCCAGATGGCCCCATAAAGAAAAAAAAAAACAAACCGGTTAGAAGGTACTGGTTTTAAATTGTTTTAAATTTTGTAGGGTTGTTTTAACTCGGATCAACTTACCGACCTGAGTTACCTACAGCTTTGCAAAATGGTTGTGCCAAAAGCTGCTGCTGCCGTGAGAACCCCATCCAGGCACAGCCTCGTTGTGCTCACCTCATCACAGAATTGCTAAACAATTTGGTTCATGCAGAAGTGAGACCCACGTTCTCCACCCTCAGCCTCCAGGAGGGATATCTAACTCATTTCTCCCAAAGAGTATCCGAGACACAAGACCAACCACCCCAGACAGGTAACACACCTTGTATCCCATTAAGCTGCGCTACCTGTAAAGTAAATGGTTTACAGAGAGGTTGGCCAAAGGCAGATAAAGACAGATGACTCTGAACCCCTGTGTCAAGGTGCTCACACCGGAGTGTCTGTAGATAGAAGGTTGGTCTCCTCCTTTCCTCAGGTCTGTTTATGCACTCTGCAAACACTCCTGTTTGTCACAAATCTCACATCGCCACCATGAGATGAAAAAACATACTTATCTTGCCAGCTCTGTGAAATAATAAAATCATCATCACCACCTCTGAGGATAGGACGTAAGTGACTTATTCAGAGACACTCTGGGCTGGTTTCTGCTGCAGCTCCACAGGCAGCAGATGTGATGGCTCCCTGCCCTGCCCACGCTTACAGCCACGCCATCCTGCACGCAACCTCGTGCCAGCTCCGATTCCTGATGGACCCTTGACCAGGATGACTCACCTCACTGATGCAGGAGAACCCAACAGCCATTTTGAGGAGAGCGCTTTTCTTTTGTTTCGGTGTTGGGCTGGGTTACGGAGCACCACTGATGAATCATAGAATATCTCAAGTTGGAAGGGACCCATAAGGATCACCGAGTCCAACTCCCAGTAAGTAAGGTCAGAAACAGGATCTGCCCCCATGTGACAGCAGGGAACCATTATGTCTGCTTAATGCATCTCCTGGAAACGTGTGTCCTCCCCTCTGCCCCAAGGGTTCAGCTTGACTTTACAGGTCAATACTGTTGCTGGCGGCTGTCAAATATCTCAAGTTGGAAGGGACCCATAAGGATCACCGAGTCCAACTCCCAGTAAGTAAGGTCAGAAACAGGATCTGCCCCCATGTGACAGCAGGGAACCATTATGTCTGCTTAATGCATCTCCTGGAAACGTGTGTCCTCCCCTCTGCCCCAAGGGTTCAGCTTGACTTTACAGGTCAATACTGTTGCTGGCGGCTGTCAGAGAAGACAGACATGCTCTGCCCTTGGCTGACCACTCTTACCACTTCTTCTGTGCTAGCCCTAGTGTGCATCTGATGCTCTAGATGCAAAGAGGGGGAAAAAAAAATAAATCACTGGACTCATCTTCAAAGCAGCCAGCTGAAGCAGGTGTGTAATGCAAAGTCATATCGCATATGAGGTTGTGTAGGGTCAGAAAAATAATTCAATATCCTGTTGTCCTGGAACAACCCAGAAGTACAGTCTTCCATCTTTTGTGGGTGGTTAGAGGTGCTCTAACGTAAAACAAAGCAACTGTGAAAGAAGGAATAAGAAAATCAAGTAAGAGGTGACTGTTCTAACGAGGGGAGCTCTATGGCCAAGTGGCACCGAAGAAAAGAAAGACATTAAGGTAAAAAAGCAATGATGCTTCCACAATGAGATACAGGAAGGTAAATAAACCCCTCCAGCAAAGAAAAAAGGCTTCCAGTAAGGTTATGTATTAATATTCGCAATGATACTGAACTGAAAAGGCAAAAGCTTTCAGGATGATTCACCAGTCAGACTATTTAAACATTCACTGATTTACATTGCAGATTAAAGGCAAAGGCATCAACACAGCACTAAGGTTAAAGCCATCCAGCAGTCAAAGGCAAGGTCAAAAGTTAAGGTGTCTAATCACATCGTGAATTTTGCTACTTCATACATACTGCGTATTTTACGTCAATATATTAAGCTAGCTGATAATGCTACTTTGCATTTCAGTAATGCTGACATTAAAAAGGCAACAGATTTTCATATTTATTTCTTAACATATTTCTCAAAATACTCCTCAAGTTTAATTATTTCAAAAGTAATTAATTTCAACCAATACAACAAAGCAGTGTCTCCTTTTTTTCCTGAACCCCTTTTTCCAGCAGTAAACTTTAAATAGTTTCTGTAAATCCCAATATTTAAAGGCTTAACCTTTTCCCATTTACAAACAGTTTTGATTAAGTCTCTCATGAAACAAAGGAACTATAAAATGCCAACACATGGCAAGCTTTAGTAGGAATTGTAGTCTTTTCTTTTTTTAATTAGACACCTTAAAAGGTGTCTTCAACTGATAAAAACGTTCAGAACAGTTTACTGCCAAAACAAATTCAATCCCTAAAACAACATTTGTTCCAGAGATCACCATCCATAGCATCACTGGAATCAACAGGAGGCTTTCCATCAGCTCTTGCAAGCACTCAATCGGGGCTTAAATCCACGTCTGCTAATGCACTGTGAAGTTAGAGATTAAAGACAACCTAGAGAGAAAGGTTCCTTACGTATTTCCAGACTTTTTGAATCACTTGAGGATGCGGTGTAGTGCTCTCGCATGCATGAATATTCCAAATGGAAGCACATACAACTTCAAAGCTACTAAACCAATTTTCTTTGAAGTTTTCTCCCCTCTAGCTAATGACTGTAAGCCAACTAGCATTTAACACGTCTCATATAATAAAGATGGATGCTAGAGTAAAATTCAAAATTTCTGTGTGTGGAGGGTGGACAGGACATGAGAAATTATTGTAGTGGTTTAATTGTAATAAAATAAAAAAGGTCAATTCAGATTAGCTGAAACTTAAATGATCTGGAGGTTCATAATCATGGACCTTTTCATACCCTAAAATAATGTTTCTCATAACCTTGCCCAATTTATGTGGTATTAGAGAAAAGTTGAGTACTTTTCTCTATTGACATGGAGGTGCTGGAGCGTGTCCAAAGAGCAATGAAGCTGGTGAAGGGCCTGGAGAACAAGTCTTACGAGGAACAGCTGAGTGAACTGGAGTTGTTTAGCGTGGAGAAGAGGAGGCTGAGGGGAGACCTCATCGCGCTCTACAGCTACCTGAGAGGAGGTTGTAGCGAGGTGGCTGTTGGTCTCTTCTCCCAAGTAACAAGCGATAGGACAAGTTGTGCCAGGGGAGGTTTAGACTGGATATCAGGAACAATTTCTTCACTGAAAGGGTTGTCAGGCACTGGAACAGGCTGCCCAGGGAAGTGGTTGAGTCACCATTCCTGGAGGTATTTAAAAGATGTGTAGATGTGGTGCTTAGGGACATGGT